TCAGGGGAGACTTTGGTTCACTGAACTCATTAATTAGGCATGATGTCTCTCTGAACTCAGTTATTCCCACTTACTCCAGGGAGTGTGTTCCATGGATCAGATCTCAGTATAAAACTTCTCAAACCCTGAAAACAGGCAATTTCTGTCGATGTGACAACACAACCACATCTCCTTCCTCTCAGCAGGCAGGTGCTGTTGTCCTGCATCACTGTCACTTTCAGAGAGACCACATGATGATCAGAAGATTTTTCATTCACGGTCTCAAGCACCGAAAGTTTCAACCCCTCTGAGGTACAGAAACAACACATTAGGGGATTAGGCAATTACATAGTCACTGAGGCAGGTGTTTTCCAGTTTCTCTCAGAGTCTTCTACAGACCAATGGAAATGTCATTTCAGATGCAAAAAAAGCTTCATAAGCAAGTTTTACCGCCACACGACGGCTACGTCTACACTGGCCCCTTTTCCGGAAGGGGCATGTTAATTTCAGCTATCGTAGTAGGGAAATCCGCGGGGGATTTAAATATCCCCCGCGGCATTTAAATAAAAATGTCCGCCGCTTTTTTCCGGCGTTTAGAAAAGCCGGAAAAGAGCGTCTACACTGGCCCCGATCCTCCGGAAAAAGCGCCCTTTTCCGGAGGCTCTTATTCCTACTTCAAAGTATTCAAAGTAGGAATAAGAGCCTCCGGAAAAGGGCGCTTTTTCCGGAGGATCGGGGCCAGTGTAGACGCTCTTTTCCGGCTTTTCTAAACGCCGGAAAAAAGCGGCGGACATTTTATTTAAATGCCGCGGGGGATATTTAAATCCCCCGCGGATTTCCCTACTACGATAGCTGAAATTAACATGCCCCTTCCGGAAAAGGGGCCAGTGTAGACGAGCCCGACATGTCGAGCTACACAGCTCTCCTTGCCCAAAGACGGGAGAGAGAGTGACATCAAAGGCATTTGTTGACCATCCAGGTATGCCTCCTGGGATGAGGTATACCTGGGTGGTCGACAAATGCCTTTGATGTCGACACCCGCGCGTCCAGACTACCGCACTGAGCCGACAAACAGCTGATCAGCTGTTTGTCGGCTCAGCATGGCAGCCATGTAAATTTAAATGAAGCGGCGATTATTTAAATTGCCACTTCATTTTCCTATGCCTGGTAGCCTTATCTACATGCCTCTGGTGACAGAGGCATGCAGTCTAGACGTTACCCTAAGTCAGTGGATTATGGGCTTTCAAATGATACCTCACAAAATGTGATTTCTACAACATTTATCGTGGTCTTTCAGAAGGGATGAGAACAAGGGTATAAACTGTCATGATGGGAAAAACATTTATTTTCCATCCTATTTGCTTGTGGCTGCTGTCTTTATTTTATGAAGCAGCTAAAGGACGGAAAGTGAAGGAATCTTTTGATAGAGGGCTTTGTATGGGTAACTAAAATATAGGTTGATCTGCACCTATATAGGTTGTTTTGGCTGTGCATGTAATTGGCAGTGTATCTTCAAAGAGGGATCCCAACAAGTTCCCTTGCATTCTTCAAATGTCTGTAGTAGAAACTACTACATCCTCAGCTGATTCATGAGACATATTCAGTAAATATCAAAAAGGCTTCAGTTCAGTACAGAATGAGGGACTGGTTGCCACTTTCTTACCAGAATAGCTTTTCTGCCACTGTTCCTCTATTGCCACAAGAAGGAAAACTGCTCAAGAAGGTAGAGCACTGATCTAGCATTCTGTAATTTTGGGCTTTGTTCCTAGAGCATCCACAGGCCTCTTGTACTACTTTGAATCAAGACATTTCCTTTCTCTGTGATGGAATTTGTGACTATCACCTACATTATTCCCCAGATGGCAGCAACCTCTTCTGGACACAGCGCCTCACGCTGTTATCCCTGCCCCTACAGGGGAACCGACCGTTCTTAGTCCTGCCACTTGCCTTAGTGGCCAACTGCAGTCCGAGGTTCAGTCCCTGATCTCAGGAGCAAAATGCAGTCTGGATACCAGCCACTGTCCTCATTTGCAAGAGGGGTGTACAGGTGGAGGGATCCAAACCTGCCTTCTAATGGGTTGGAACTGAGGGATCCAGTTGCCCCATTCTCACATGTCCCTGATTCCTTCAGCCACTTCCCCATAGATTCAGCTCCTTCTTTCTCCCTGTATCAGGGTGTCAGTCTGTCAGTCAGTCAAGCTATAGCTCCCTTTCTCTCCCCTCACCCCACCCATCCTTGCTTTGGTTGTGGTGTTTCTCTCCCGGCAACCAATCCAGGCAGCATTCCAGGAAGCCTTCTGCTCAGCATCCCTTCTTATATGGTCCGGCCAGGCCCTGATTGGCTGCTCCACTAAGCCTTCTCCCTGCAGGTTGGTTCAATAAGCCCTCTTCTGATTGGCTGGCTTCTCTACAAGGCTGCCTTAGCCAATCTTTGCCTGTGTGGCTCAGGTACCCCACTCAAAGACCATGTCAGGATTTACAAACATAGACCAATCCTATTAAAAGGCACATGAGTAGGATTACTCCCATTCAGAGGTGGGCAAACAGAGGCAGAAAGAATTTAAGACCCATAATTTCATATGAGCCAATAGACTCAATGAAATGGTGAATGCTTTGGAAAATGCTGCTTCCAGGCACATGGAACGGGAAGAGGCCACTACATACTTTTTTAGAAGGGTCCAGCTTTACAGGGAAATACCCAATTAACAACGTATAGCAGATATCTCAGGTCACATCCTGTTGTCTCCATCAAGCCCTGTGAGTGAAGCTACCAGGCATATTTTGGGGAATATGTAGTGAGAGAAAGTAATGAAATATCCCAGGGATTGGTCTGCGATAGATAGAACCTGCATCACTTAAGAGCACAGGATGAAAGAGTGCACTAAATTAGTCTCCAGGGGAGACTTTGGTTCACTGACCTCATTAATTAGGTGTGGTGCCTCTCTGAGCTCAGTTATTCCCACTTACTCCAGGGAGTGTGTCCCATGGATCAGATCTCAGTATAAAACTTTGCAAACCCTGAAAATAGGCAATTTCTGTCGATGGGACAATCCGACCACATCTCCTTCTTCTCACCAGGTAGGTGCTGTTGTCCTATATGGCTGTCACTTTCAGAGAGACCACATGGTGATCAGATGATTTTTCATACATGGTTTCAAACACTGAAAGCTTCAACCCTTGTGAGGTAGAGACACAAACATTAGGCGATTAGGCAATTACATAGTCATTAAGGAGGATAGTTTTCATTTTCTCTCAGAGTCTTCATACAGACCAGTGGAAATGTCATTTCAGATGCAAAAAAAGATGCATAAGCAAGTTTTACCCTCACCCGAGATGCCGAATTACAGAGCTCTCCTTGCCCAAAGAGGGGAGAGAGAGTGAAACGCATTTACTGTCACCCCTTCGTGAGCTAAGCAATCGCCTTTTTAGTCCGAGATGGTTTTCCACCTGATTCTCTTACAACATAGTCACAAGTCGCTGATCAGATTACTGAAGAGGAGTGTTTGTCTGTGGGGTATGATTCACCTGCATGTCCTAGCATGTGTACAGTGTGTGCATTGTATGGGAAACCTGACATCACCAGCTGTGAACATCTGGTTGTGTTGCCTAAGCTCTTCCCTGATCCCGAACTGGTGTCCATTAAGAAACTGATCTCCAGTTTTCTTCCCTTAATTTCTTACAGAGAAGGGATAATTTCCCCAAGCCATCCAACTGCCCACATCCCATTAGCTGCGTGAGCTCTTTTCCAAGGAGATGGAAGTAGGAAATTGCTCGATGGCGACTGAGTTCATTCTCTCAGGACTGACAGATCGTCCGGAGCTGCAGGTCCCCCTGTTTGTGTTGTTCCTACTGATTTATGTTATCACCCTGGTAGGGAATGGGGGGATGATCTTGTTAATCACAACTGATGCCCGACTCCACACCCCCATGTACTTTTTCCTTCAGAGTTTGTCTTTCTGTGATTTCTGCTATTCCTCCACAATTGCCCCTGAGATGCTGCAGAATTTCTTCACTGAGAGGAAAAGCATTTCCTACACTGCCTGTGCGCTGCAAATGTATTTCTTCATCTCTTTTGCAGATACTCAGTGCCTCTTGCTGGCTGTGATGGCGTATGACCGTTATGTGGCCATCTGTAACCCGCTGCTCTATACGGTCACCATGTCCACGCAGCTTTGCAACAGGCTGGTGGCTGGGGTGTGTGTTGTGGGGTTAGTGGATTCAATGATACACACCTGTCTGACATTCCGGCTGCTGTTCTGCCACTCCAATGTCATTAACCATTTCTTCTGTGATATTCCCCCACTGCTGGCGCTCTCCTCCTCTGACACTCATATCAATGAGATTGTGATATTTGCCTTTGAGTGCATCATTAATGTAAATAGTGCTGTAACAATACTCCTCTCCTATGTCTGGATCATCTCCACCATCCTGCAGACCCGCTCTGCCGAGGGCCGGCGCAAAGCCTTCTCCACCTGCGCTTCTCACTTGACTACTGTGGTCATATTGTATGGCACAGACCTATTTATGTATTTCCGACCCTCTTCCAGCTATTCCATGGAAACGGACAAAATAACCTCCGTTTTTTACACGCTGGTTATCCCCATGTTGAACCCCCTCATCTACAGCCTGAGGAACAGGGAGGTGAAGGACGCGCTGAGAAAAGCCACGAATAAACTCCTAACCAAGTCTTGAATCTCTTCATCACAGTGGAGGTTCAGGGATGGGCAGTGGAAACAGGAGAATTCAATTTCCAGCTGAATGAAATGACATTTGCAGAAGCCCCTTGTATTATTGCTCATTGTCATATTGTTCTTATTATATTGTTATTCAAAAGCGGCGAGAAGTCCTGTGGCACCTTATAGACTAACTGAAGTGTAGGAGCATAAACTTTCGTGGGCAAAGACCCACTTCGTCAGATGCATGGGTCTTTGCCCATGAAAGCTTATGCTCCTACACTTCAGTTAGTCTATAAAGTGCCACAGGACTCCTCGCCGCTTTTGCAGATTCAGACTAACACGGCTAACCCTCTGGTTATTATTCAAGACATTCTTGTAGGCTCTGTTTGAGACCAGGGTTTAGTATTACCCCAGCAAAACTAAAAGAGGCACCTGTTTCACATGGCATACTATATAAATATATGTCATTACATTTTAAACCATTGAACTGTTTCTATTTGGAAAGAAGGGGGCAGCAAATATCCCTCTTCTTTGTAGCTGGGTTGGTTTCTTTGCTGCTGGAGTGGTTTCATTGTGACATGTGTGATTTCTATGACTGAAGCATAGAGTTGTTGTAGAGACGGTCACCTGGTCTGTGTCCATCCACTATAAAGAAAAACATGATTTCCCTCACAACGACCATCACTTCATCTTAAGGGAACAACAAAACTAAGAGAGAGCACAGGGTGTGTGCATCCTCTGTGACAGTCTGCACTGAACACAATACAACATAGCACAGAAAGGGTGAAATTCTCCTCTATCAATTAAACTGAGATATGAAATCGGACAGTAAATATTTACACCTCCTTGACAGTTTTGCTCTGTATCCTTGCTCTGAGATCTCTTGGAATATACTGTGGACTAGCAAGGGTATAGATGTGGCAATTTTTTGACTCCAGGGACTGTAAGCGCCACATAGATACATCTGTGCCCATAACTGATTTTTTAGTACACAGCTTCTTAGAACACGTCTCAACCTGATCCAAGTCTGAAAGTTCCCTAAACATGTTGCAAACTGAAAACATTGAGCAAATTGTGCTTTGGGGAGGAAACAAGGGTTTGGTAGGACCAGAAATGCTACATGTCTTTTCCGGACTCCTTCCGCTTCAATGTAAATGCAAAGCCAGTGAAGGGATACACTGACAAAATGGATGGGTGTGGAAGAGGCAGTGATTCTGCTGCTTGCCTGGTGGGCTCCAATCCAGTGATCAGAGCATTCACGTAGGATGTGGGACACATGGGTCACGGGTCAATCCCCCTCTGTCTGGTGTGTGGAAGAAATTTGAAAATGGGCCTCACGCTGCTGGGGAGCGTCCTGGTGACTGTTTGTGTCATGTCCTGGGTCTTCCTCAGGGCTGGGCAAGACTTATCCTGCACATTGATTCCAGTTATGCTACTGAAAGTTGATGTAGCTCAGTCTGATATGCAGTGGTGCCCACACCCTGTGCACACCGTGCTGTGTCAATAGGAGAGTTATAGAGCTGAACCAGTGTCATTTAGAGCACCTGCCAGGATCAGTGTTCACCAGCCTTGGGACAGATCCTCTGCAGGCGTCAGGTACAGACCTCGCTGGGCAATTGCTGCCCCATTGATCTGACATGTCTCCACCAGACGTGCCAAACAAACCTGGCTTCATTTCTGGCAGCAGTTTCCATGTAAGCAGCGGTGCAGCTCCAGCCTCAGTCTCTGCTGCTGGAGCCGTGACGTTTGTGAGAGCCCTGGGCAGAATCACAGGGCCAGGAAGAGAGAATGGTTCTATTGACTGGTTGACAGGGGCACCCACCTAGAGGGGGAGCTGCTCGACTTCCTGTCCCTGGTTCAATGGCTCTGTGATTTGTGTTACACAGTAGAACCACTTTGGAAGGTGAGACTGAGAATGACCCAGACAGGACTAGCTCATTGACTAGCTCATTGCTCTGTGGCTGGGATTCTTTTTGGAAAGGCAAGTACAGACTTGACCATGGATGTAACACCTCACAGGTGAGCACTTTGGCAACTGACTATTAAATTACAGAGTGCGAATGCACCTCTGTCTCATTATTTGGGCAGCTTTGTGATCAGTACCAACAATTCTTCCCCTGACACACACATATGGTTTTGGGACAAAGCCCTCAGGAGAATTTCTAACACAGTTGTGAATTGTTTGAGATGAACCACACTTCCATTGTTTTGGACAGTAAATTATTTGTCTATAAGAAATTCACCATTTCTAGACACAATTGTGCAATGGGCAACACCACGCTCCATGTTGACAGGTAGACTCTATGAACCTCATTCTTCTCCCATATTAAAACAGCCTGATGGGGGATACAGTGCTCCACACCATCTGGTGCTATTGTCCTGAGTGCTCCATATCCACACGGAAAGACGTGGCAATAACATTAATTATGTGTGCTGTACAAAGCTGTTGTCCTGGGAATAAAGATGCTCCAGAGAACAAATCTCAAAGCTATCCAAACCAAATTTAACCTCAGCTCCCTGAGGCAGTAGCTCCAATGGTAACACTGGCATCATGAGCCAATGGGGAAAGGTTTGACTTCAATGCTGAATTCACGGTTCTCATCTGGTTCTGCTTCCATCCTTCTCAACTTGTTGATGAAGGAAGCAAAAACAAAAGTACCACCAAGTTATGGGCAAATAGGTTCGTTTGAAAGGATTTTGGCCTTCAACTGATATGAAAATGAACCAGTCACAGAATGATAGAAGTGGAAGGGACCTCAAGACGTCATCCCTAAGTCCAGTCCCTTGCACTCCTGGCAGGACCAAGCACCATCTAGACCAGGATTTCCCAACTTATGGGTTATGACCCAAATATGGATCATGAATACATTTCAAAAGGGTCACCAAGTGTCTCCTCAGATGGCCCTCTTAAGGAGCCATTCATACATTTGAAAAGCTCTCCCGCTGGTCATCACCACAGCTGGCTTAGTCTTAAGGAGCCATTCACCAGACTTGGTAGTCAACTTAATTGGTATAACAACCTTCAGGCAGTTAAACCAATCAATTGAATTGAATACCATTTCAGTGACTCAGAGCAGACTAGGCAAATATCCCTGGACCTGGGAGGGGGCGGGGAGAACTTAGAACTCTAGGGAACACAGAGAAGCGGCACCCAGCTCAGGTAGGTGGGGGTGGGGGTGGGGAGCCAGGTGTCCAGC